AAAAAAATTTTTTAATCTATTTATTTATTAAATTTGTATGTCACCCATCTCCCCCAGCGGGTGACTCTGGGCGGCTCACAATTAAAACAAAACCACAACCAATTAAAAATAAATACCACATTAATTAATTAAAATTAATTAATTAAAATTAATTAATTAATTAAAAAGTCAAGCTATAAAGCTAACCCTATATAAAAACTAAAAACATTCAAGATGAATGTTTTGTTCCTTTTCTTTTTTTTCCTGTAATTATTTTAAAAGCAATAGAAAATAAGTGAATAAATAGGAAAGGCCTGATTTGGAGAAGGTAAAATGGAATTTTATTTTCTGTCCTTTTCTTAAAGTATTACAACTAGGGTCCCCAAGTAAAATGAACCAAGGATGACAAAGGAAATGTCCTACTCACCAGGAATGAAAAGAAACACAGAGAAGAGAGATTTTGCTGTTATACCGAAGAGATTGTACAAGTCTCTAAACTCTGAATGCCGGTGGTGGCAGACGGTGGGGAGAATAATAGGGGAGGAAAGTTGGCTTTATGTTTGAAGATTATAAGTCTTTGGACACGCTTGAAAGCCCTCCTTGACTGCACCCTTAAGTGATAAAATGACGTATGGTCTAAAGTTCGTGGACAGAGAAGGAAGAATAAATCTCTGTTAATTGAATTGTATTTAAAAGAAACCTTTGGAAGTTTGTTTGTTGGCTCTCTTCTACAGATCCCTAATTAATACTGCATTATCAGTTCTAACCTTTGTCATCATTTCCTGCTTGGAGCTCGTCTGTCATGACACTGGCACTAGAATCTCTCAGGTTTGAGGTGTGGATGTGTTAGCTTTGTTGCTTCATAAGTAATTATTGTCTTTACGTTCATCCATTTAACATGGTTATAACACAAACATATCAGCTGTAACTGAGAAAAAGATGTTTGTGGAGACATAGGCAGCATTTAAAAGGTTGCCTGTATTTTTGTCATTTGTGTTAATAGTGGGAAGTATTGAATTAGGAAGACTCGGGTTAAGTTCCTTACTCAACCATGACGTGCACTTGGGTGACTTGGGTTTGCTTTGAGGTTGGCAGAAGACAATTGTTGTTTTGGCTTTGGGTTGGCTTCAGGCTGTTGTTGAAAGAATTCCTTTCTTTCAGCCAAACCTAATGCAGTGTTGTTGCAAGGATCGTATGGAAGAGAACCATGCAGCATTGTCTTGTCTTCAGAGGAGAAGAGCAACAAAAACGTGTAATAATGAAATAGCACCAGCATGTATCTTAAGTTTTGTGTAGGTACTCCTTTGCAGCCAAAGCAGGAAGTCGTACTGCTGTTTCATTTTGCTCTTTTCTGTTGCTGATTTTAATTCTGGCCACTGTAGAAGTGTGGGAATGTGGTTGCTTTAACTGGCCAGAGGATCTCGGTGTGTACAGTTTTGGAGCCAATGGATCCAACTTAAGTTTACTTTCCCCCAGTAGAATTCACTGAATTGAGTTTTAGCTGGTGGGGGTCATTTTTTTTTTCACAGTAGAAGTGAGTAACTGCCTGAGGGCACAGCTGTGCAGGAATGCAGATTTTGAGGAGAAAAAAAATAGTATATGTATTCATGACTCAATAGATTTACAGTAAAAAATAATTTGGAGAGGAGGGGAACCATCGATCTTCAATGGGCCAATCCTTCTCCCTGCCTGAAAGCAAAATAGAAGTGGGAAGAAAATGTTGCAAAGTAGATTTCACTGCTTTCAAGTGCTTCCCCCTGTTAAGATAATGATTTTAACTCAGGAGCAAAGTGAAATTGCAAATACGGTACAAAACTGTTCTCATAAAACGGGAGGCAGAATAAAACATAGAAAGAGTAATAATCTAGGAAAATGGGTTGGAAGTGTCTTATCTGCCATGAGAGAGAATCACGCTATACAATACTGGAGAAAAACATTGGTATAGGTAGACTCCAAAACATCATTTGTGGAGATGAGATGATAATCATGTAGATGTTTTACCTTATACACTAGATGGCACTGTTTATTTTGTTTGTAATTCTACAAAAGTTCTTTGATTATTTAAATTAAATGACATGAACTTGAAACACCACGTATGGAGAAGTTTGGGTGGTACCATTGATAACAGAATGCCTTGTTCTAGCTGGGATTTTTTGTAGTCAACCTTTTCAGAATTTAGATTTTTACGGAAGAAGGTAGGAGGGAAAAACACAAATGATCATCAAATGTCTGCCATTTACCGCATATCCTGGTTTGTGTGGAGAACATTTTGTTCAGTCTTTTGGATCTAGTCTGCTGAACTGGTTATATTTTTCAGGGACAAATGGAAATGAAGTCTAAACAATTTGTTAAGTTCTGTGTAAGAGCTGGAGTTTGTAGGAAATTTTTAGCAGAGTGATGTATAGCAGCTATGAAGTTCAACATTCAGAAAACTTGTAAAATCTGACATGAAATGAGTAATGTCTTTGCTAAAACATCAGTAGACAAAGGGCCTCGTAAGATTTTCAGTTTTAGGGAAGCAGAAGATTTACTTCTCATTACTCTTCTGATAATTGCTTTCTTAAGGCTAGGATTGATCTAGGAATTCTGACAAATCTCCAATCAAAATAACGTTTCTGAATTTTTCTCTTTTGGTATATTAAGATTATTCTGAATTGGGAGAACTGCCACCCAGATCACCGTTGCAACCCGTTTGTGAAGATGGCCCTTTTGGGGCAGTAAAAGAGGATAGAAAAAAGACACCCAAGGAGCTGCGGGAACTGTGGCAAAAGGCTATTCTGCAGCAGATACTCCTACTTAGGATGGAAAAGGAAAACCAGAAATTGCAAGGTAAATAAATTGCTCTACCAAATATCTCCAGAAAATTCTACATCAGTGACATTTGTGCCAAAGGCAATAAATAAGTAGTCTGAAGGTAGCGTGTTACTCATTGCCTGTTCTGCTTGTTGTCCTTCTTGCTGTACTTTACCCATACTGGGTTTATTTTATCTTAATAGGTACTTTGCTTATTTTATCAATGGTAGCTCTTAAGCCTGGTTCCTGGAAGTGCTGATAAGGAGCTCAGACTCTGTCTCCTTTGAACCCTTCGTCTGGTGGATTCACTTCTTTATGTTCAACGTTATTGTCATTTTAGCATTTCTTACCATCTAATTTAACTTAGTTTTGAAAAGCCCTTCTCTTCAAGCAGTTGTCCTTGGCCCTCGAATCCATCTGAGCGATTTTGTCGTCAAATAGATTTACTGGAAGAAGCCACCAAAAAGTGAGCTTTCTTCTAGTCCAGCTCAGCTTCCAACAACCACATCCATGTTATTGTCTAGGTAACAATACAGAACTGGTTTGTCCCAGTCTGGCTTACGGCCTTGGGATATTTCCTGGTGTCACTCATCCAATACTGTTCACTCTACCTCTTATACATTAGTACTATTTTTATTTTGGTATGAGCTTATACCTGAGTGGAGTACAAATAAACAAGAATAGAAATCACATTGCAATATAAAACAAACTGATAAATAAAAAGCAATCAATGTTACAAATCTTACCTAATCCCAGTGCTACCATAATTTCTCTATATCTTTCTGCCCTTCCAAACTGTCCTTACTTTCACCACATCCATACACCATTTGTACACTTTTGTCCTTTAAACTTCTCATCTCTCTTTTTTTGAGGTTCTCATCAACTCCATCCAACCACATTTTTTAGTCTTTCTCATCCACTCAACCCATTCAGTCTTCCTTCATCTATTGGTTTGCTATTCAATCCACATTCATTCCAAATTATGTGACGGGGCAAAGCATACAGTAAATAGTGCAAGATAAGGCAGCAAGCAAAATTTCTTAACCCTTCTGGAAATCACTGTTGACCTGGCAGGAAATAATTTCCTTCTTCTAAGCTTTTATGACTGTTGGCAAATAGATCCAAGTGACAATAATTACAGCTCTGCACCCCATAATTCAAGTGTCTCATGGCCTTTGCTCAATGAATTTTTATTGCAGATGGGCTATATTAATTGCCATTATAGTTTGCGTAACAAAGAATGGCATTTGTGAGACAATAAGAGGAAACAGCTCTTAATTGTTCATCCCAAGTGGCCAATACTTGAAAACGTCTCTAATACATTAATTTTCAGAAATGTATTTCTTATCATAGAATTTATGTTTGCTAACATTTTCAGCCCCCATAACACACCTGAACATTACCACAAGCATTATTATACATCTGTCTATAAGTACATTAAACAGCTGAGAGGTCATCACACATTTTGGTCTTACTCTTTGTTCTATGTCAGCCATTTACTAAACATTCCATTTATTATTGTGCATTCTTTATTTCCATCATATACCACTTTCATCTCATTCAGCAACCAACCTTCAACTCCATATTAGGACAAAATGTTCCATAATTCTGGTCTATTCATTTTATCATCACCTTTCTCTGAATCATTAAACATACAATAAGCTTTCCTTCTCCCATTCATACTGAAGAGTAAAAATATGCTCTGAACATCCCCTGCCTAGCATAAAGCCACACTGCCCTTCCCAAATGTTGCTAACTGTCACTTGTTGTACCCATTAATCAAAATTCTGCCAATACGTTCTCAGGCCCACCGAAGAGGCAATCCCCCCATTGTCTGTGTGTTCACTTTTGCTACCTTTCCCTTTGCATAAAGGAACATTAATCAAATTCTTCCAATCCTCTACATTTGCAGCTTACCATTTTTAAAACTCTCACAGCATTTATGACTTTTTGTCATTTTTTTTCTTGGACGCTAACATTAATAGTATTGTTTCAGTTCCTCTCTTCAACATACCACTGTTGTTCTCATAAAGTACTCCTTCCAACTTTTGCTCAATTAAGCTTCATCCAAGTCAGATCATCAGTTTCGTACTCCATCCACTTTGCTGGAGGCTCCTTGTTTAGCCCTTTTCATCCACTTGGTTTCCATCAAAATCGTTCAGTGTTTTCTCTGCCTCTTAACCATTCCTTGCTCTCTTTGACTGCTTTCTATGCATGATCTTTTGGTCTTATTGTAGAGCATTATGTGAAATAGTTTTATCATCATCCAATTTTAGATTAATATATTTTCCAGCTCAGAGTAATATACTTAATGCCACTGCCGTTTTCCATATAAAAACAATAAAGCTAAGATTTGAGTATGTACCTGTATTAATATAAATGCAGTAAAGCCCAGTTTTACCGTGCCATCTTTCAAATTACCCATTGTGAAAAATCCAAGAATAGCAGCAAACTGAATGTGAATTGCAATGCGTTCATATTTCTTTACGGTTTGCTTTCTAAAGTTGCTGAAATAGGCTTGCCTTTTGTTTGACTTGGGCATCTCCTTAGGTTTCTGTTGTCAATGAACTGTCTTAAATTGCTTTGCAATAATTAGGGGTGCACAACTGCTTGAAGCTTGTGCTGTAATTTCCAGAGCATGCTGATGGCCAGTAGGCAGGGAGGGGCTCAAATGGAAAAAAATCAGTGAGAATGGATGTGCATGTAGAGTATTTAAGGGGTGAATTTGGAGCTATAAACCTCTGCAAAGCTGAAGGTGTCTTCTAAACCACCACCACCCTGTCAGTCTTCAGGCTAATTTTTTGGATTTCACCCAATCTTGGAGGAGATCTGCAGAAGATTTATTAGTGGCCTTTCACATGTGCACCTGGCTTTAACTTGTTCATCTTTTTTTCCCCTCTAGCTTCTGAAAACGATCTGCTAAACAAGCGTCTGAAGCTTGATTATGAAGAAATCTCCCCATGTCTCAAAGAAGTCATGTCGGTCTGGGAAAAAATGCTGAATACTCCAGGAAGATCAAAGATGAAGTTTGACATGGAAAAAATACATTCTGCTGTTGAGAAAGGTGAGTGTATCTAATTACTGAGGGATGCAGATAGGTACACACTTTGGAAAGTGAATTATCTTTTTAAACAGATGTGGTAATTGATTATAAGAATAGAGTGCAATGTTGAGGAGATACTTCCTGTGCAGCGGCTTGAGCTTTTAGTTGTAATATTATTGGAATAAACTAGAGTTATGATGCTAGTTATAGCCAGAACCATTTAAAGAGCCATTTTCATAAGAATTGTTTCCTGTGATTAGTATAAGAGAACTAGTGTTCCATAGTGGCTAAAAATTGAGCTACAAAACAGAAAGTCCCAAGTCTGAATCTCCTTTACTATTCTATCACAAATCCACGTTGGCCTTATTCCCCACATCTGCAATATAAGGCATAGTCAAGTAGAATTATTTTTCAGAGTAGTTTGACTTCCAACTGAATTATGCACGATTTGGTCTTTTAGGTGCTATTAAAATATTTATGAAGGCAACGATGAACAAAATGAATTATTGGATTAATTATAGGATTTCATTCAATGCCTTGATCTACCTGTCAGCTTATAGATCTTTTTCTAGTCTCCAGATGGATCGCTATGTTTGTTTTTTTAAATCCACATAGGTATTTCACAGATAGTATAAAAACATAATCACTGCCAGTGGTTTTCAACTATGGAAAATATTACTGTTCCAACAGAAGAGAATATTCCTCCTCCTCCTCCTAACTTTCAGTGAACCTCCCTAGGATTCACTTGTGGTTGAACACAGGATTGTAGTCAAAAAAAATTCTGGGTTCTTTTGTTTTTCGTTATGTATGTGGAAAGCTGGATTTGATATTCTCATTTAAACAAGTTATAACCATGACAATAAAACCAATCTATCTTCTCTCCCCATCTGCCGTAAAATGTGTATGAGTTCGCTTTTCCTACAAGAATTTTATATTTCCCAGGGAGAAACTAGTGATTGTGACCACAAATCAGGAGGAGTCTGGCCACTAATAAATCTTCTGCAGATCTTTTCTGATTAACAAATTTTATTAAAAGTTTTCATGAGTTGCCACTTACATCATCAGATGCATAGAGTGGTTTCATCAGACGCATGGAGTCTCGCCTAATCTAGTTTGGCCTAGGGGGCTGTGCAGAAAAATTATCATTCCTCTGAAAGTGTTTGTGATGTGCCGAGTATTGCTGGGAGAGATTCGTGCTGGTAGAGTATCCATGTAGGACTACAACAGAGATAGATATGTGCTTTCCTTACCCTATGTTATTCTTCTTTTTTTCCACTGGGGTAAATATTCAGGGATCTGGTCCAAAAGAGGAGCATTCCTCTCCGCTCCTTGCTGATGGCCATGAGTTGATAGTCCATTATGAACTGTTCTGAGGGATATTCCAGGAAAAATGAAATTATCCTACTTTTCTCTCCCTTGTTCCTCCCCATTGACCCTGGAAATGGTGTTGCATCGCAGCAGCATTTCACAGTCATTCTGGGAGGGGCACCACATTGTATGCAGTGATTTCTTTTTAAAGCAGGTAGCTTGTAAATACTAATAGTGTGTGTTGGTATCTCGTCTAATTCACTTTTATTCTTTTTTGCTGTTACAATCTTTTGAAAAGGAGTTCCTCGCCAGCAACGGGGAGAGATATGGAAATTTTTAGCAGAGCAGCACCAGCTCAAGCATCCGTTTCCGAATAAACAACAGCCAAAGGATACACCTTATAAAGAACTCTTAAAACAGCTGACTTCCCAACAGCACGCAATTCTGATTGATTTAGGTAAGTCTGCACAGGAATAAATCCGATATTAAACTTGGAGTGTTATGCCTTGCAAAGAAGGGTTATGTTTTTCTTATGACTTGATTATGGTCTGCATGCATTGAAGAAGTGTCTGTGGGAAATGCCATTCAAGCCTTACAATCTTCTATGTCTTTAATATCTCAGCTCTCTTTTTTTTTTTTTCATTTTTTTAAAGAAAAGTGAAGAAGGAGTATATAATCCAGGTGGTCTCATGATTACAGAGGAGAATCTAGAAAATATAAACTAGACTTTTCTAAAAGTTCATGAGAGTTTAAATAAGACTTTAGTATTGAAAGCATGAAATGATGGGTCTGTTGCTAATAGGGCTTCATTGCTTCTGATAAATCTGTTAGCCTCCGATGAAACACCTTTACCTATATAACTGAATATGTTGTGAATTTGTTTGCTAGTTTGCTATATAAATTACAGAATATTTGGTTTTAGTCACTTGGTGAGACGAACCTGCAATTCTCCTTTATTAGGTTAAGCCATAAACTCTGTTCCTGACAGACAGTACATTAGATATGTCTGAATGACCTTGTACATGTTGTGTCCCACGTAGTTACTGGTTTCCCTAATGCTGAGGTCTGCCACATAATTTGTGAATCATTTGCAACACACTTTCAAACCAACCCATGATTTTTCCACTTTGTCTTCACTAACAACAAAGCAAGGATGCCTTCAACATAGCGTCTTCGTGCTTGCATGTCTGAGGCTTGCAGAGAGCACTTTCGGTCTACCATTGCTCAGTTTAAATCAGCCAGTAATTGAGCCACTGGGATATTAATGCAATAAATAAATATAAATGAATAAAGAAATGCAAAGAGCACCAACCAATCAGTCTTCACTCATTCTGTTTCCAACTGGCTTATGACACTGAGTACATTTCCCCAGTCCCCTGACGTTTCAGTGTTCTATGCATGAGCAACACCCCTTCTCAAGAGCAGCAGCAAATGAGTTTCTTTGGATACCCTGCTTCCTCCTCCTCCCACCCATATGCTGTTCATGCATTTGTCTACATGTATTTGTGTACATTTTTCTTGTTATTTGCAAAGCATACTTCTTGATAAGCTGCTATGACTGTGGTGGCAAGAGCTGTTTTGAAAAACAAATAAGAAGAAGTACTGAGAAGCCTCAAAAACTTATATTCACCGTGGTGCCTCCCCTGCTTGGACTGTCCCTAGATATTTCCTCAATATTCTATATGTCCCTCATAGAAAACAATTTACCCTGGCCTGAATTGTGGTGTTGTTTATTGGGGCAACAACTGGCAGATAGATAAGTTTCCTATTTGAAAGCCATACTCATTTTTGTTCAGCTATGGAGGTAGGATCTGTTTCATATGTGCTATTAAAATGTGGCAGTCAAGCTTAATATTTCCAATTGTTAACAACATTAATGGCCATTGTGACCAGGAGGCCATTACCCTTCTTTTGGGTGACCACTCTTCGGAAACCTCAGAGAAGTTTGCCAAATTTCTATTGCTAGCTACAGCTCTTAGAAGTGGTTCCTCCCTCATGCTATTAACTGCCAGCTGTTAATTGCTTCAGGGTTTTCTTTAAAAAAATCTTTTATTATATTAATTGTATTCTTGGTCTTTCTCTTGTGTTTGGTCTTGGATCATAAATAAACTTTGATTGGTTTGCCGTGGTGCCAGATTTGCATTGCAGAACACACCCAGTTCTGCAGTGTAGCATCCCAGCAACAACTTTGACCATCCATGGTTTTTCCCCAATAGCAAATATCCCATTGACAAGCTACCAAACTCGGCTTCATAAAATTATAAGGGAGGTGGAAGATTGTGTGGTATAATTGCAGGCTGGCCTTCCGGTGAGAAAACAGATGCCTACAAGCATAAGGTGAATGTGCTAGATCACAAGCTTCATCCATTTCTGAAATAGGGCAGAACATTTCAAAGGGCTTTTTAAGGCTAACAAGGAATTGTGATTTGCATCAGTGCCTTTTCATTGTACAAAAAAGAAGCACATACTGCCCCACTAAGAAGGAGAGAAAAATCACCATCTGGAAGTGCTGTATGATGTTGGTAATTTGGTTATATCTAGTTAGAGCTGCACATCATTTACTTCATTTGGGCTTAATTGTGATGGAACTAGTTTCCAAAAAACTAGTTCCAGGTAATAGTAGTAGCCTTTCTTACACTTCACTTTAGTTGTTCCCCGTAACAGGATAGTCTCCTAAGATTGTAAGATGCTGTTAACATTCGATTAGTATTTCACTACAAAAATCCAAAGATCCACAACACTTTTTGAGTAGAGCTTCTAAAAGTGCCCCCAAATATAGGTGTGTGCATGTGTGTGTGTATATTTGCCAAGACACACCCCAAAACCCATATGTCAAAGTCATTTGTAGTCAGCAGGAAAATACTCTGATCACTCAATAGGTAGATCTTAAACATCTAGAATAAATACAGTGAAGTCTCACCCAAAATTCCAAATGCAATAGTTGGATTGCTAATTGCAGCTGGAAAAATGTATTAACACTGCTTTCGGTGATAGCTCTATTTAGTTTCTCAATATTTTCCTTGTGAAAGAAAGAGCCCATACCTGAAAATGGGAACTCTTTCTCCTTGTATATGTTGCTTGAACATGTCGGCTTCCTCAGTGCCTTTCACCCCTGAATCATCCTAGTTCTGTTGAACTTGAAGGCTTTAAGATCTGATCCAGAGAGTTATAGCTTTCTTAATATTGGATACTTATATTCTCTTTTCTTCCTGTCAGAATTGGCAGAAAAATGCCTAAATTATATCATCAGTTATGATGTAAGTAGGAATTACATCTGCCTTCATCTTCCTTAGCATACCTTTCTTGTTCCAGATTCTTTTCCCTCTCCGCTTCAGTTCATTCTTTCAGAGTGAATTTCTCCTAATGGGGCTCTGCCGAACTGAAGATATAGAACAGGATTGTTCAGTAGGAACAACTCCTACATTCGGCAGGGAGCTAGCCACTGAGCAGCACAAGATGTGCTTTCCATTGGAAAGGAAAGTACACTATATGTGCAGAAACATTAGAGTCCGACAGCCCAGGCAATCAGGAGCCAGTCCCAGAAATTAAATGTAGGCTTCCTTCCTTGTATACCCATGTATGAAGTTCTAATTGCAAGATTTGGCTTCTAGCTTCATTATTTTCATGAAATAAGAGCTCTGATAATACCTAACAAGACTTTGGACTTTGGAGTCCTTGTTGCTCGCTGAGCTTGGTGGTTTGTTGCAGACATTTCATTACCCAACTAGGTAACATCATCAGTGCTGGTGAGTGGAGGGTTTGCTCCCTGTTTATATATAGTATACAGTAGCTTGCCCTGCCAGTGTTGGTGGGGGTGTGGTTTCCTCCTTGGTAGTTACTTGATTAGGACATTGTTTTCTGCTTGTTTGTATGTCTGGTGTTAATCCCTGCTTATCTTGGTGTAAGCTATTGGAAGGGATGTTTTCTGGTCTTTTATGTTTCCTTCTTAGCTTTTTTATTGTCTCTTTTGAATGGTGTGTAAATGTGATTTATTTCTGTATGTGTACTGATGTCTGATTTGTCTGAATGCCAAGCTTCCAGGAATTCCCTAGCGTTTTTAGATTTGGCTTGGTCTAAGATGCTCACAGTTTCCCAGTTGAAACTATAGTTGAATCTGTCCATGTGTTGTGAGATTAAGGAGTTTTCATTGTGTCTTCTGACTGCTAGTTGATGTCCATGGATGTGCTCTGCTAGCCTTCTGCCTGTCTGTCCTACATAGTGGTTGTTACAGTCCTTACTCTGTATGTTGCAGATGATTC